TTTAAGAATATTTGCTCAATCGTCTTCACCCTTTCAAAACCCTTTTTCAAATAGCCCCAAAATCGACTTTTTGGGCTCCTTGTAAAATAACTGTATTTTCATAACTAATCAGCTTTCAGAGTCGAGAAATTTCTCATTTTGTAGAGAAATATTTATTCTACTAGATCATCTATTTCGAATTTGAAATGGGTTCCTAGCTTTATTGGAACGATTCTTTGAAAATGAGTAAAAAAAGGGGACCGTTAGCCAGACAAGCCGTGTTGTACAAAATGAATGAAGTAGCTCATTTTCTTATTTTTCATCATATATGCTTGGTTATTTAGCTACTTACATTGGCATCAAGTATCGGTAATATAAGTGGCATTGCGCTACCTTCACATGCATAACCTTGTTGTGTCATTGAACCAACGGGATCAAATGCAAATATACAGCCTTTACCTATAAAATAGGTATATATGAAAATGAAGAAAGTTCTATATTATTTTTAAACACATACCCTCATTATCTAAACCTGTAACAACAGTATTTGTATAATATGGAAAAAATCTTCTTCCATACATCATTATAGATATCATTTGAGCTAATGCTGGAGTTGATATTTGTTTATTATGAGTATATTCATAAGTCTAGAAGAGAAAAAATTCAGCATATTAAACGGTTTTGTTTTCATTTCTATTACTATTTACACTTACTTTAATACGACCATCAAGTGTTTTTTTTAATGTTAATACATCACCTAGAAATCCCGTTGATAATAATAACGAATTATTATGTCTAAAACAATAAAAACAAACATGTGTTATCTAATTCGTAAAGAGAAAATAGTTCCCTATTTACAATTTATAAACATTGCTATGTGTACGTGATTGGATCGAATAATTTTCGGTTAAACGTGTATCACTTGCTACAACAACATAATCATCGCCAGCAATAGCCACAGTTGTACTAAAAAAATCAAGACATTAGATCGACTCAGTATGAAACATTTTGAAAAAGTAATTAACAACTGAATATTTTTCGAACAAGGTGATAATCGTACGCTAATCTACATACCCAGATTGAAATTCATATGGATACCAGCCAACTTCTTTCACCATGTTGTAATTTCTTTTTACTTTTAAAAATTGTTTTTGTTTAGATCTAAAAGCAAGAATAATTTATAAGATGAAAGACAAAATAATTTCTTTCCTACAACAAAAATACACAAAGAAGAACAATAAAGAGTATGCAGAAAATAGAACCATCTTGTTTTAATTTTAATTGTTTTAAATTTTTCTATTACACTAGCATAAAACTTGATTATTTTTTTTTGAGAAAAGAAAAACAGAACTCGCCTTGAGAAAAATATGAAAAGCGTCAGAAAAATGATGAATGTAAATGTCTATCCGTATACAAGATTGAGTTAAAGTTTACACAATATAGGTAAATTAAATTTTCGTTTGAGATTGAGATAATGGGTAACAAGGTACGAAATTTTTCCATAGAGCAACATTACCCAACCATTCAATCTAGAAAAAAAATGTAAGAATACAACCAGTCGTTTTGAAATTATAGAAGTGACTACGTTCGAGAGTACAAGATAA